AGCCAGTTTACCAGCTGTTAGGATTTCTGGGAATTGTAGGCCATAAACATATGGGGACCCCAGGTTGAGAACCACTGGTATAGGCTGTTGTTGTTGTTAACTGCTGCCAAATCCACTTCTACTTATGATGCCCATGTGAAAGCCAAGTCACCCTGTCATCAACAGCACTGCTTCAGATCTTGCAGGCTCAGGGATGCGGCTTCCTTGATGGAGTCTATCCATCTGTAATGCACTTTCCTTTTTTCTTATTGCCTTCTACCTTTCAAAGCATTATTATATCTTGTGATATGTCCAAGTATGACAGTAATCATTCCAAGTCTGCTATTTTCTGCTAACAGCATACTGTAATTTGCATATTACAAATTTTCTCCCAGATTTCACACCTCTTTCCTCCTAGTTTAATCAATCTTTATTCATGATGAATTCAGCATACATGTTAAACAAATAGGATGATAAAAGGAAGTCTTACTTGATTCTTTGAAAATTGGAAACCACTTCTTGTCTCCATATTCTGTCCTGTGCTGCGTTCAAGTATACATCAGAACATATAATTTTTTTAGGCACAATCTACAATTTTAAGTGATCTACCTAATCAAGGGCTGTTGCACTCCAGGTCAGGAAAAATCTCTCTGACTTTAAAACACACCACATGAAGAGTAAAGAAACAAATCTTTTTTTTTTATTGAAGCTTAGTAAGTAGCCAGAAGAAATAAATGCTTGCAAGAAAATAAGACAGTTCCAAAAAGTATTAAGTCCATAAAAGATAGTAACACAAAGCAATGTCCACACCAGATATAAAAGCAATCCAAGACAGCATTTGTCCAAACAGGAATCAACAGGATATAAAGACAATCCAAAAGGCTAAAAAAACTGCACAGGAACAAGACCCATTGAATAGGATTTCCATGGCACATGGACTTGATTTCCAAACAATGCCTGATCTAACAGGTTTCCCCTTGAGGCAAACTTTATATCCCAAAACTCAGAAATTGGTTTTGCTTTCCCCCACATTTACCCCTTATCAGACAAAGCCTTTCAGAGCGACGTAAACACTGAGTTTGCTGTTGATCCTGGCTAATCTCCAGCCGCCTATTCTTCAGCTCCCTATCTGGCTCTGGCTGCTCATTAAAATTCCCAGGTGTCAGATTGTTTTCCAAATCCAAATCTTGAGAGCTCACAGAGAGAGGGAGTGAACCATCATTGATAGGCCCAGCAGGAATAGTCTCATGAGAAACTGCCCTTTGCAGTGGGGCCTCTCTGTCATTGTCTGCAGGAAAATAATTGACCAAACCATCTCCATCTTGTACCTCAGCCTCAGCATCATCATTTCCCACATCAGGATCCTGAAACACAAACACAGGCTGATTCACAACAAGGCTTTGCTATAATCTAAAAAGCACAAACATTTTTTAAAATTCCTTGGCACTCTCCATAATCCAATATATGTTTGCAATGTGAATCCTTTGCTTTTTTTTTTTTTCCTTCCTGGACCCAGCTTGAACATTTTGCAGTTCTTGCTCCAAAAATGGTAGCAGAATCTTTTTTCTTTCTGTTGTTCTGCACCAAATTATATGCAAAAGCATCCTTTGCACCCAGAGTTTTCTCATATCAGCCATAATTAGCAATCTTCAATAGATGTTGCCTTGATAAAGATAAATCAAGTTGATATTAGTTCCATATAATCAGCCTTACAAATTTGTTTGTGTTTTGTTGTTCGCTGTCAAGTCCATTTTGACTGATTATGAGCCTATGAATGAGAAACCTCCAAGAGTGTCGGGCCCCATTTATACTATAAGAGTTACAGAATGCAAAGTGCATGGCATCTTCATCTTCCTTCATATGAGCAGCACAAATGGTTGAGCAAAATGCTGTGAGCATAAGCTCCTCAGAGCAAAAGCCAAAGCGTATTCTAAAACACATACAGTTATTCCAGGTGTGGCTCAAACTTACTAGCTGACCTAGATTAGCAGCTGCACATAACGATTAACAATATGTTTTCTTTAACACACCCACTTGACGTTGATCCTTTTACAACTTACTGTAGCAGTCAATACTAAGTGTCATTGTTTGCAGTTGATCTACTGTAGTTTGAGGCCAATGTAAGAATTAGATCTTTCTTCCAACTTAATTGTTACTCTTTTCCCCCGCTTTGAAGGAGGATGGAAGAAATGCTGAAAATGTGGTAGCGTCGTGATATGATGTTGTTCCAAGAGAAACGCCTTTTGTTCTGCTGTAGGTGTGTGGGAGGAGGTTGGATTTTGTGAGCTTTCTTATTGGATCATGTGAGATATTGTATAGAGAATTCAGTGTGTGGAAGATCCTGTTTTAGGACAGCTGTTAAGACTTGGAACTAGGTATGTTTTGCTTGCTGATTTGGCCCACAGTTGTCCTTGAAGAGAAATGTTTTAAGATCTCCCTATCAAATATATGTGTGGCTGACTATTCCAGTGACTAGAGCTGAAAAGCAGGAGAGGCGGCGACTGTAAGAAGAGAAGATGGGTGTTCATGCTGGCCTTTGCTCTCTCTTCTTTTTTAACAAGACAGAGGAAGTGTGCCAAGCATAGCGATACCAGTCAGCAGGTTGTCAGGGTGTAGCAATTTTGCTGCATCAAATTCTCCAGAGACCTTGACGCTGTCTACTTTGGACTGAACAAGATCCTGTTTATTGTATTAAGAACTTTAGTAGAAGACTTGGTTTATAGCATGTCTGCTTTTCCTCTTGTCTAAAGAAGTGTTGATATATTTCTGTGTAAAACCCCATAACCTATGGATATGAGAGCTGGACCATAGGGAAGGCTGAGCGAAGGAAGATCGATTCTGTTGAACTGTGGTGTTGGAGGAAAGTTCTGAGAGTGCCTTGGACCACGAGAAGATCCAACCAGTCCATACTTCAGGAAATAAAGCCTGACTGCTCATTGAAGGGAAGGATATTAGAGACAAAGTTGAAGTACTTTGGCCACATAATGAGGAAACAGGAAAGCTTAGAGAAGACAATGATGCTGGGGAAAATGGAAGGAAAAAAGAAGAGGGTCCTACCAAGGGCAAGATGGATGGATGGCATCCTTGAAGTGACTGGGTTGACCTTGAAGGAGCTGGAGGTGGTGACGGCTGACAGGGAGCTCTGGTGTGGGCTGGTCCATGAGGTCACAAAGTGTCAGAAGCGACTGAATGAATAAACAACAACAACAACAACAACAACAAAACCCCCATAAAGCAAACCTAATAACTATTCTTTGCACCTGTACTTTAGGACATAAAAAGAAAATGTAAAAATAGACATCCTCTTTGGTGCCCAGGATCCAGAGGACCACTGATTTATTGACATACTTATTTAACCCCCATCTAAATTTAGTCGGCTTTGCTTCCTTCTAAACTTAATGTATCCAACATCTCGCTTCCATTCTTTGAAAATAGCAGAGTGAGTATACTCTTTACCGGTAAGGAGAGAGCACAATGTGGTATTATCATGACACTGAATGGAAAAAAGATGGCTGCACCAGTTGGGGTACTATCACTTCCTTGTATAATCCAGACATATTATTATTATTATTATTATTATTATTATTATTATTATTTTAAAAACTTTTATATCCCGATCTTCTCAACCTCCGTAGAGGGACTCAGACCGGCTTACAGCAAGGATTCAATGCTAATAGTACAATCTAAAAACATCATATAATAACGAGTTAAAATACATATCGATTAAAATTACAAATAAGCCAAATTGCCAAGATAAAATCATGTCCAACTCAGTCCGTATGTGTGGTCGAAAACTTTGTTGTGTAGCCGGTTTCAACCATTACTCTGGGAATGCTTCCGTCCATAGCCAGGATTTCACCAGGGTGGGGGGGGGCAGATCTGATCTCAATCGGGAGAGAGTTCCATAGCCGAGGGGCCACCACAGAAAAGGCCCTGTCTGTCATTCCCGCCAGCCGCGATTGCGAAAGTGGCGGGACTGAGATCAGGGCCCTACCAGAAGATCTTAATTGTCTTGATGGTTCATAGGGAAGAATACATTCGGACAGGTAATATGATTCCCAGTTTACCTAGTTGTAAGTCAGAGAATTGTTGCATGCCTTCAAGTGGTGTATAACTTACAGCAACACAAAGGCAAATTTATCATGGGGGTTTCTTGTGAAGAGTTTCAAACTTTTTCTTCCTGCAGGACAAAAGCAAATACTTTTTGCTCACCTTTGATGACTTTTCACACTTTGGGACATTTGAGTGAAAAATGGATTTTTTTGTAAACCCAACATCTTTTCCTAGAAAATGATGTAATTTTTTTCCAATACTTTCCAAATTAGGGAAGATCTTGCAGGGTTTTTGGCCATTTCCTTGATGAAGTGTTTCAACGGTGGCACAGTGGGTTAAACCCCTGTTCCGGCAGGACTGAAGGTTCGAATCCGGGGAGAGTGCGGATGAGCTCCCTCTATCAGCTCCAGCTCTCCATGCGGGGACATGTGAGAAGCCTCCCACAAGGGTGGTAAAACATCTAGGTGTCCCCTGGGCAACGTCCTTGCAGATGGCCAATTCTCTCATACCAGAAGCGACTTGCAGTTTCTCAAGTCGCTTCTGACACAACCAAAAAAACCCTACCTTTTTTTTGTTGTCTACGAGAAACTTCTGAGTACACTCATAGCCTTTTTAAAGTTTTTGAGAAACACAAAATGTTAGGCGAAGAAAATGAGGTGCAGTCTAGTGATTTGGTCATTGTTTAGAAAAACAATCGGTCCTGATGTTGTGAAGCTCAGGTGAGCCAGTTTACCTTGAAATGATGTATGCTTATCAGTGGAAGACAAGTAGAAGCAGTAAATTTGCTCAGTATCAATAGCCCAACAGTTCGTCTCTGCGGCTGGCATGAATATGAATAATTTATAAACCCATCATCTAAAACCATGGAGAGGCTCATTAGCATTTTAATGAAAACAATATGGGCATTGTACTAAATCTTTGCATTCTGTTTTTCTTTTTTCTTCTGCGGCTTGCTTCTCTTCCTCCAGTTAAAACAATTCTGCCGAGTCCTTTTGAAAACAGCTGACGACAGGGGATAATGTGCTGACTGGCGCTATGGGCAGGCGATACCCAGGGGCTCACTATCGTCAAAGCAATTCATGTATGTATGTGAGTTCTCTCCTTTTTTCCTCTGTGTAAAAGCAATACTGAACCTTTTCGCTTAACAGCTTTGACTTCTGCTTCTAATATGTTCACTCTCATTGCCCCTCACTACTGTATAGGTACTGATTGAGCAATTCTGTGTTGCAGTTTGAAATTTCTATAATGTTAATTTATTAGTTTAATTGTTGCACACCAAGGCTGGGGTTGACACCTTTGAACCCATAAATACACCAATGTTCTTTATATCAAAGCAGTTTATTGAGGATTAATATAGCAATAGCCGAAAAGATAAAAAAAACATTCAAACAAGTAATAAAGAAATGTCCACAAAACATTCAGTTGAGCAAAGTAAAATAAGATCGTCAATTATAAGTCAGGAATCAGAAGGGTTGCAAAAATCCAATAAACAAGTCAACAGAAGTTGGAGTCTTTCAGTTCCAAAAGGTTGCAAAAGACCAAAGTCCCAATGCAGGAGCTTGAAACCAGGACAAACCACATACATGAATCTCAACATGAACATGAATCCCAGGCAGAAGCAAACAGGAATCTTAGCATGTACTAGAAGGCATGGATACCAGGCATCAAACAAAAGGAATGGCTATACATAAAAACCAAACGTTGAACTCACTGAAGAGTGTAGATTCACAAGCCCTATATTTATTCAGAAAGCCATAGCAAAAGCATTCCGTTTCCCTTGGGAAACCTCTCCCTGACCCCCTTTTTCTCTTAATCTTTTGGACCGTCTTCTACCCCCTTCCAGGTGGCAATGTTGATTGATTTGACTTCTCCTATCAAAGAGTGTCTGGTCCTCCCTCGGCTTGCCAATTAGTACATTCCTTTCACTATCACTATTTGGCCTTGGCCGTTTGTAATGAATCTAACCTTTTGCCAGGAAGGCCGAAGCCTGGAAAGTCAGTGGCTGACATGTTGAGAGATAGGCAGGAGAGCTAAGAGGCAAGAGGGTGGAGTCAGCCAACTCCTGATTGGCTAGAGCAATCAGGGGAGGAGTTAGGTTTGAGAGGGAAAAAGGCTGTGTCTTTTGACAAGCTGGGGGAGAAGAGTTTTAAACATCGAAGAGTATAGAAGCATAGTTAGAAAGAGGGAGCTGTGAAGATTTTAGGCAGGGAGAGAGAACTTTTGAAGTGAGCCTTGTAGTTAGAGCATAGGAAAGGCAAAGGTTCCTGAAACACTGTACTTAGTGGGGTCAGTGTAGGAAAGCCCGGTTTGCTCTGTGAGGCAGTCAGTGGGCTGTTCTCAGGGACACACTGTGTCAGCGTAGTGAACAGTGTGAAGCAAGAGTCTCACAAGAAACAAAAGTTAAAGTCTTAAGGAAAGACTGCTTGTCTAACCAGCTAAGCCTCTGAAACGCATTACGCTTTTGTACTACTCTTATTAAGAGTTGATTTGTTCACCAAGTTTAAATAAACCTGTTTCTAATTTCATCTTTAAACTGGTGTCTGCCTCGGTCTGTCACAAACAATAGATCTCAGCTAGCATAAAGATTTTCAGTCCAGTCAGTGAGAGAAACAGCCATTAAAGAAGAACCAAGGGCTTGAACAAACTTTACCAATTTCACATTCACACTTATGTTTTCCTCAGACATATAATTGAGGTGGTGGCGGCGAATTTACCAAATACATCGGTCATTAACAACGTTAATACAGTTGGTCACTCAACAATATTACTGAGGTGGGATAAGAGAGTCTTTCCCCCTTGGTCTCAGTAATTTATTCTTGTTAAAGTAGTGTCCAGCTGAACGTTAATCCTTCATACTGGTGGGCAGTGGTTGGGATTGTTTGTCCATCCTGCCCAAGATATCGATGATCTTTATTATACCGTTCAACCTTTTCCTCGGCCTCTTTTTATGTTAGCATCGAAGCATCTTTGCCTTGTGAACGAGCTATCCCAGAATCCTCAGGTTCACTCTGGCTAACTGTACTCTCTTGACCATCATCTCTATACACAAACTCCTGAGAGTCAGCAGAAACCTGATCCTTTAACTCAGACATTGGAATGTCTGCAGATTCATGATCATTCTCCTCAGAAACCTGAGGCAAAGAGACAATCACAGGCTGAGCCCCTGCATTAATGATGTTTAATTAATTTCCATTGGTGGGAAAATAAAAGGTTTCCTGTGTACTAATTGTTAATTTTCCTGCATTAATTTCTTATGGCAACTTTTTTTCACAGATTGGATTTGGTACATCAGCTTTTTGTATAACTTTAACCTTCAATGACACACTCACTTTGCTGAGTCCTTTGCAACGTCTTTCCCCCAAATTGAAGGCTTCCAAAATATTTTCAGTACATTGATGGTCACATTGCCCAAAGAAAGGACATGGATTTTATTTTCAAATTCCTCTGCTAATGTATATTTAGAAATAGTATACATACAAATACACAGTGTGAAAGACATGACTGAGTGACCTGTGTGTCCTTTCAGTCTGTCTGCAAGTAGTCAAATGGTTTATGAGCAACTTAAAGCCCCGGTGGCGCAGTGGGTTAAAGCGCTGAGCTGCTGAGCTTGTTGACCAAAAGGCCGCAGGTTCGAATCCGGGGAACGGCGTGAGCTTCCGCTGTCAGCCCCAGCTTCTGCCAACCTAGCAGTTCGAAAACATGCAAATGTGAGTAGATCAATAGGTACCGTTACCGAAGGTAACGGCGCTCCATGCAGTCATGCTGACCACATGACCTTGGAGGTGTGTGCTGTCGCACGCTGGGCCTGAAATAATGTCTGTTTACAGGACGTGCCTTCTGTATGCCTAATGGGACGCTGGGGTGCCTCAGCTGAAGTGCCCCTTAGATTTCCCAACACAAAGTTCTATTGAGGCTCAAAATAAGTTCATCAAAGTTCTTTATTTGGGCTTAAATCTTCAAACAAATGAATTAAATGATTTATAACCTTGGAAAACCGGTAGCTTCCTCAATCTGCTATCAAGGGCAGGCAACTGGTAGTAAACTGTTCCTTTCTTCCTTAGGGAAATCTTCTGACCCCTCCCTGGGCAATCTATCTTTACCTTGCTGGCGTGAGGCCCCTACTCCCGGCTCCAAGGTACTTTATGGATAGCCCGAGTGGTCCCTTACCAGACAATGGTTGCTGTAGATCTGCCAAGCCGAAAAGTGTCCTTTAGTTTTACTCCATGAAGGCTGCAGGAACTGTCCTGTTGCCCCAGAAGGCTGGCTGTATTCCCCCAGCAAAAGCTGTGAGAAGTGAAGCCTTTGTGCAGGTGGGATAGAGAAACCCACACATCCTGCAGTTAGGCTTCAAACAGTGAGACTGAACAAAGTTTCTCCTTTGCCTCCAAAACCCTGGGAAAGGGGGCAGGTCTAAAAACTCTAACGATGATTGCCAGGTTGCTGGCCCTAAGACTGCAATCTGGGGAAGCTAACTGATTGCAAAATGCGTGGCTTAAATAAATTCATACAAACTAGCAGTGCAAGAAAAAGAAATTCAAATCTCCTAGCACTGCCGTGCCAGCATAAGGTGTCTACGGACAACGCCGGCTCTTCGGCTTAGAAATGGAGATGAGCACCACACCCCAGTGTCGGACACGACTGAATGTCAGGGGAAAACCTTTACCTTTACTTTAAAGGCCCTGAACTATTTTACACTGCACATTTACAGTGGTATGATTCCACTTTAACTTCCTTGTTTCCATCCTGTGGAATAGGAGCCCCCGGTGGCGCAGTGGGTTAAACCCCTGTGCCGGCAGGACTGAAGACTGACAAGTCGCAAGTTCAAATCTGGGGAGAGGCGGATGAGCTCCCTCTATCAGCTCCAGCTCCTCGTGCGGGGACATGAGAGAAGCCTCCCACAAGGTTGATAAAACATCAAATCATCCAGGCGTCCCCTGGGCAACGTCCTTGCAGACGGCCAATTTTCTCACACCAGAAGCGACTTGCAGTTTCTCAAGTCGCTCCTGACACGACGACAAAAAAAAAATCCTGTGGAATCGTGGTATTTAAGGAGGGATTGTGAGTGTTTTCACCCACAGAGTTTGCAGCTCTATTCCACTGTTTAGGTGGAATCACGATAATTATGAAGCATGAAGAAGCCCCAGATTGCTCCAACTCTTCACAAAAATAATGTTTGACAAAATAGAGCATTGGGAGAATCAACAGATTCCATGGCCTCTTGCTCCTGTGAATAATTAGAGAGACAGAAAGCAAAGCTTTGAGAAGAGAAGTCATTATATTATGTTGGAATTCTGTACATTATTAATTGCTTCTTCCCCACATGTTTTGCTTGTTCTCTGGGCATGACTAAGTCTGAATCCAGCTCACATTTCGTACTTTCTCTCCGACCTCACTGTTTACAGTTTCTCTGCCCATGTACCTGCAGCGATGCCACGTATATACATTAGTAAATTACGCATATGATCGAGTGAACAATGGTTCATAAAAGCTTGTGTCGCCTTTGCCTTTAAAGTGTCAGAAAACACTTTTTATGTGTTTTTGCTGGCATCGATTAATGTGCTTCTTCCAAAAATATGTTTTTTTAATGTTTTGTCCATGATTTCTTTACTTGGAGAGAAGACCAGTCTGGTCTGTGCACAGATACTTTGTGCTTTGCATATATTGCCAGCGTTGACTTAGCATATCTAAAATATTCCATATAACAGCATGTCCCTTGTCCACATAGGACTTACGTTATATTTAGTTGTCTCTTTCCATTACAGACTTTCGTGCTCCTTCCTGGAAAGCAGTTCAGATAGCTTATTACAGTTGACCTTGTTTTGCTTCTCTCTCCCGCTGGGGATAGATAAATATCTCTTTAAAGTTTGCAGCCTGTCCCTTTAACTCCTTGAGAAGGCAACTGAAAAGCAGCTGTTTCAGTGGCTTCTTTTAGTGATAATCTGTAAGCCTCCAGGCTTGCTATATTCCAAGGTATGTCAAATGAGCTTCACAAGAGGCAGTATATGAAATGTCCTTTGTGATTCACAGCCCCTGCCTCCTTGCTTCCCAATTTCAGATGATTGCATTTCAAGTCTTGGCATT